CATTAGAAAAGACAGTAATGCTGGGGAAAATGGAGGGAAGTAGGAAGGACACATGCTAGATCAAGCAGTAGGTGGGGGCCAAAATTAAAATAGGCTAAACTTGTTCGGGCCACAGATAGGTTTTAATTAAATATTAATATTAATTATAATTAATGTGAATTCCATCTTCCTCTGCTCAATCCTCTCAGGAGAAAGTCAAGCAGCAGAGGAGCCTTGCAGGGTGGGTGTTCACCTATCCTCCTCCTCCGCCACCACCTAGCCTTCTCCTCATGACAAGGCAGGGTGGTGGAGAAGCCTTGCAGGGCAAACAAATAATATTTATTATTATTATTATTATTATTATTACCTGTTGTCTGCCTCCGCCTGTCCTTCTCCTCAGGAGGAAGCCAGGAGGTAGAAGAGACTTGCAGGACAAGCGTTCACCCTTCCTTCTCTTTCTTTTCATGTCTTCTCCTCAGGAGGAGGCTGAGCAGTAGAGGAGCCTTGAAATTGGTCCACATCCTTAGGGGGTGCCCACAATCCCTTGGTGGGCCACATGCAGCCTCCAGGTCATATATTGTGCAGGCCTGTGCTAGATGGATGGACTCTATTGAGGAGGTCACAGGTATTAAGGGGTTGCAGGATTTAAGCTGAGCAGTGGAGGACAGAGGGTCTTGGAGATGCCTCATCCATAGGGCCGCCATGAGTCAAGATCAACTCAAAGACAGTTAAGAACAATAACAAAAGAAGCACGAGTTTACTTTTATATGAGTGTTGGTTGGCTTTGATTTGGCCATGTCCTCCATTTTGAGCATGATTAAGAAGCACGGATTTACATTTCAATGAGTGTTTTTTCCTTTTAATTTTTCTTGGATGTCCTCCGTGACTTAAAAGCATAAATTTACATGTATATGAGTGTTTGTTAGCTTTTGTTTGGTCTGTTTTTCCTGGTTGTCTTCCAATTTGAGCATGACTAAGAAGTACGGATTTACATTTCTATGAGTACTTTTCATTTTCATTTTGGCTGTGCCCTACATTTTTCTTGTCTGTCCTCCATTTTGAGCATGACTGAGAAGCATGGTTTTTTTATATGAGTAAGCTTTTATTTGCTGATGCCCTCCATTTTCTTGGATGTCCTCCATTTTGAACGTGACTAAGAAGCCTGCTTTTACATTTCTATGGGCCTAAGCAGACTGCCAGAAATAGTGCACATTAAATTGAGGCACTGCCCTGGCTCAGTGCTAGGGAGTCATGGGAATTGTATTTTTTTCTGAGACATTGAGCCTTCTCTGTCAAAGAGCTCTGGTGCCACAATAAATTACAGTTCCCATGATTCCCTAGAACTGAGCCAGGGCAGTGCCTCAATTTAATGTGCACTATTTCTGGCAGTCTGCTTAGGCCCTATGACTGTTTTTAGCTTTTATTCAGCAATGTCCTCCATTTTTCTGGGATGTCCTCAATCTTGATCATTACTAAGAAGCGTGGATTTACCTTTATATGAGTTTTTGTTTGGTCATGTCCTACATTTTCCTTGGATGTTTTTGAGCATGACTAAGAAGCATGAATTTACATTTCTATGAGTGTTTATAGTTTTTGTTTGGTCATGTCCTCCATCGTTTTTCTTGGACGCCCTCCATTTTTAGCATAACTCAGGGCCTTTGCAGACTGACCTCAAAGGGGTGGGGTATAAATAAATTTTATTATTATTATTATTACTGTTAGAAATAGTGCAAATTGAGTCCACTTTAACTGCCCTGCCTCAGTACTAAGGAATCATGGGAATTGTATTTTTTTTATTGAGTCTTCTCTGTTAGAGAGCTCTGGTGCCACAGTAAACTACAGTTCCCACGAATCCCTGGCACTGAGTCAGGGCAGTTAAAGTGGACTCAATTTGCACTATTTCTGGCAGTCTGCAAAGGCCCTAAGAAGCATGAATTTACTTTTATATGATTGTTCGTTTGTTAGCTTTTATTTGGCTATGCCTGCCATCATTTTTCTCGAATGCCTTCAATTTTCCTCTCACTCCTGTTTTGTTGTTGTGTACCTTCAAGTCATTTTCAACTTATGACAACCGTAAGGCGACCCTACCATGGGGTTTTCTTGGCAGGATTTGTTCAGAGAGGGTTTGTCATGGCCATCCTCTGAGGCTGAGACAGTGTGACTTTCCCTAGGGTCACCCAGTGGATTTCATGGCCAAGCAGGGAATTGAACCCTGGTCTCTGGTCATAGTCCAACACTCAAAGCACAGTGCCATAAACAATAGGAGTTCCTTGTCCCTAGTGCCAGTTTGGCCACATGGGAGAGTTTTATTATATGCTGCAACGAATAGGTGTCAGTGGCCTCAGGACCCAAAAGACTGACACCAAGGAAAAAGAAGAGCCATCTAGGCATAGATAGGTTTGCAGGGTGGTGTGTGCCTCCAGGTCATTTTTGAGTCATAGTGACCCTATCGTGGTTTTCTTGATATGTTTCTACAGAGGTTTTTTTTTTGGCCATTGCCCTCCTCTGAGGCTGAGAGAGAGTGACTTGCTCAGGGTCACCCAGTGGGTTTACATGGCCAAGTTGGGAATCAAACACTGGTTTCTAGAGTCGTTCTCCAACACTCAAACCATTGTGCCACACTGGCTAACTCTCCTGATACATCTTAATTATTAGTTTACTTCTGTCATATATTGCTTCTAGTATATGTTTTGTTGTGTGCCTTGAATTCATTTCTGGTTTATAGTGACCCTATCATGGAGTTCTCTTTGCAAGTTTTGTTCAGTCTTTTGGCTCCTGAGGCCACTTTGCCATTGCCATCCTCTGAAGCTGAGAGTGTGTGACCTGCCCATGGGTTTATATGATCCAGCCAGGATTCGAACCCTGGTCTCCAGAGTTACAGTCCAGCGTTCAATCCACTATACTACACTTAGTATATTTTATTGTTACTATAGTTCTATTCTGTTTTTCTTTCAGAAGGCTCAAAACAGCACACAGGGTTGCCTTAACTATTTCCATCATCACAACAACCTTGTGAGGTAGGTTAGGTTTTGGGATAGCGATTGGCTCAGTGATTCCTGTTGACCTTATTTACTGAATAGGATTTTTAGTCCAGCTCTGCCAGTCCTAATTCAGCACCATGCTGGCTCCTCCTGGGAAGTAGAAAGTGCCATGTAGAGATTTTCTGTTGCTCTTAATGGTTCTCCCACCTCAACGAAGGTACAGTTATTTCTCTGAGCAGTCAACAGAGGGAAACATTTTTAGTGAATTTTTTGCTTGTCAAGTGAGCATATTGCCAGTTGAGCAAGGCCAGAATTGCAGCCTTCAAACCTGTCCAATATACTTTTTGTACTTTTAGTGGCTCTTATAGTTAGCAACTGAGTATTTGGTGCCAAGAAATTGGATTCTGAGCAATTGTTAAGCATCAAGTAGAGAGAGGTGAGTTGTAAAAGAAATGCCTTACACACAAAGTGATTCATCCAAAGATATATTTATGTTATGCAGTTTGACACCACTTTAAGTGCTCTAGCTCTATCCTGTGGAATCCAGGGATTTGTAGCTTTACAAGGTCTTTAGTCTTCTCAAAAACTACAAAGTCACTAAAAATGTTTCCCTCTGTTAATTACTCAGAGAAATAGTTGGTACCTTCTTTGGGGTGGAGGAGTCATTAAGAGCATCAAAAAATATCTACATGTCACTTCACAAAGCTCTACATGGCTGCTTCACAAAACTACAAATCCCAGGATTCCATAGGATGGAGCTATGACAATTAAAGTGGTATTAAACTGGATTATTTCTACAGTGTAGAAGTACACAAAGTCATTTTTGTGAATATCAGTTGTGTAACAAACATTGTTCATTAAGTGTGATAAACACGTGTCTGTTTCCCTGCATTTATCATTGGGAAGCAGCCGTTGTGTGGTGACTCCAAAAATGGCCATAGTCCTATTTATTACTTCTTCACTGTCTAATAGACTTTGACCATATGTATGGGATGGCTATCAGAATTCTAATATGGTCTTTGCTGGTATTTTTTTCCAGGCTTATTAAGGCTAATCTAGGGCCTTTGCAGACTGCCAGAAATAGTGCACATTAAATAGAGGCACTGCCCTGGCTTAGTGCTAGGGAACCATGGGAACTGTAATTTATTGTGGCACCAGAGCTCTCTGACAGAGAAGGCTCCGTGTCTCAGAAAAAAAATACTATTCCCATGACTCCCTAGCACTGAGCCAGGGCAGTGCCTCAATTTAATGTGCACTATTTCTGGCAGTCTGCAAAGACCCCTAGTCTGTTGTTGGAAATCAGGGACAAATCTGGAACATTTATGGTTCAAAATTAATCTCATAAACACTTTTGCTGTATGCTGCCTATTTTATGTGTTATGTCATTGAATTGAGAGCCAGTGTAACATAGTGGTTTGAGTGTTGGACTATGACTGTGGAAACCAGGGTTCAATTCTCAGCTCTGCCATGAAACCCAGTGGGTGACCTTAGATAAGTCACACCCTCTCAGCCTCAGGGGAAGGCAATGGCAAACTTCTGAACAAATCTTGCCAAGAAAACCCCATAATGACTTAGGGTTGCCATAAGTTGGAAATGACTTGAAGGCACACAATAAGTATTATTATTATTTCATTGTATCCCACCTTTCTTCCAGCATAGGGACTCAAAGTGGCTAACAACAAATTTAAAAACAATGCATGATAAGCTCTTCTGTAATCTTTTGTTATGATAAGCTCTTCTGTAATCTTTTTCTTTTTTTTGTTTTTGCTTGTATTTTTAAAGTTGATAATAAAATTTAATAAAAAAACAGTACAGTATTAACATGTATACATATAAAATTTAAAAAACAAACAATTTTAACAGTTATGAATTAAAATATAACATTACTTAACATTTAAAATGCACAACATAAGAACAATCTTTGAATTACAAGTATTAATAGGTGCTTTCATAACTGCAGCAGTCATTATCCAATCTCTAGATTTAACACACAGGTTTGCAGCTGCATACATAATGGTACATAACAGCTGTTTGTCAGAAGATATTTGCCACAATTTATTCTTATTGTAGTTGCTTTGTTAGTGGTATACGTTTAGTAATTGCAATCAATAACTTCTGCTTTTTAGAATAATCTAAAGGATCCTACCTATCTAACTGCCCTGTAATCAAGAGTGCTTTTCTTCATTTTGCTTACAGGCCCAGCCATGCAGGAAAGCACCCGTTTTGCTTCATCGGGAGATGATGATGTTAAAATATGGGATGCATCATCCATAACTCTAGTAGACCAATTCAGTCCCCACTCGTCCTCCCATCCAGTAAGCTCTGTATGCTGGGGCTGCAACAGTATCCTTTACTGTTGTGTGGGGTGCAGTATCTAGGGCTGTTTTTCTTCATTATTTTCTGATAATAATTTTCTTTGGTTGTACAGCTGTTTTGACTACAGGTAGATTTAAACTGGCTTGTGCGCCTGTTTCAACATATCGTCCAATTAAAGTGTTGTCATAGTTGTATTTGTTTAGATTTTGATCTCTTCTATTCATAAAGTATTTTCCATAAATGTATTGTTAATAATGTCCAGTTTGAATTGATAATGTGTCTACCTAAAATCCATCAGAGATTAAACTTTCTAGTTACCCATATTTTCTGGCGTATAAGACGACTGGGCGTATAAGACGACCCCCCACTTTTCCAGTTAAAATATAGAGTTTGGGAAGAGTATGACTTCCAAAACTGTTGTTGTTGTTGCTGTGCACCTTCAAGTCATTTCCAACTGATGATGACTCCAAGGCAAACCTATCATGAACCTCCTTATACTCGGTGTATAAGACAACCACCCCACTTTAACCCCAGATTTTGCAGGTTAAAAAGTAGTCTTATACGCCAGAAAATAAGGTAGTATTCAACAGCTAGGATGTTGCCAGTAAGAAGTCTTAATTGTAAATTGTTTACTCAGTGGCCACCAAATTGGCTGCTAGCATCACACCCAGTTTTGACTCTTGATTCTGGGCACTTTGTCTAATGTTCTTCTTTGTAGTCTTATCAGTCTCTATGCTCTGGAAGGGTACTCTGGTACCTTTATATATCACAGATAGCTGCTGTAGGTGCTGCTGAACTGCAGCAGCAAATTTTGCAATTATGCAGCCCCTGTGGTTTCAGTCCCCACCAGCCTGAGTGACTTGTCCACAGCCCTGTTCTGAAGAGTTTTCTCTTTAAAAGTTTTTTAGTTTTTTTTAAAAGCTCCAGAGGATTCATATCATGCTACATATGTAGGACTGAACTCTCTTCTCAGCCAGCCCAGCTTCCTCTTCAGCAGCACTTTTAACATATTTGCATTTAGAAGGTGCCAAACTACAATCATTTTTGTATAGCTGCCAAACTACAATCATTTTTGGATAGCTTTTTGGACTGGTTATTTATGCTATATTTGTTTGAGAAAAATAGATTTCATGGTTACCATGTCATTCACCCTCTTGTTATCCCTTACACCATTTGATTTCCTTAGATTGTGAGCCTGTTGGTGATAGGACTGTTAAAATTTAGAAAAAAAATGCTATACGTTCTTAGCCTATGGCGTATAGGATGATATGGAAAGGATTTCATCAGCAGAAATAGGCTTGTGAAGTCTGTTTTGGTTTTTTTTTTTCCTATTAAAAACCAAAGGTTTATGAACAAGCTGAAGCCAGTGCTTCAGAAGACAGAAATTGAGCCTATTTATTTATTTTAAGTGCATAACTGAATAGGGCTTACATGCAAACATCCATCCTGTTTATGCCAGGAGAATTTTTTTTAGATAGCATAATTTAGGAGAGAGGATGGTAGTTGTTCATCTCCCTCCCCCCATTAATAAACAATTAGGAACTAGAAATCTCTGCTGTAAAGCACCCAGATCTTTACCAATGAATCTCAACCTACTTTTTGCCCACATGTATGCTAAAATGTACAAAGTGATAAGAAAATATGAGATCTGAAATGTGAGTCAGCCCATAGTAATTAAGTAATTCAGCTATATTCCAAGGATCCAGTTCTCTGTATGAAACATTTGACTTCAGTAGTTTTCCTTGAAGTTAATTTTTACTTGCTTTCTACGTAAGGAAAGTTATGGTAGGTTTCATATTGGGCACTCCATTTTCAATAATAATAATAATAATAATAATAATAATAATAATAATAATAAATTTGTTCATACCCCGTCTTTAGCTGTAGCCATCAAGACGGCTTACATCTAAAATCAATACATAAAACAATTCCTACAGTAGGTTACAAAACAATAAACTAACACTATTAAACCCCCCTTAAAAATGAATTAAATACAAGTCTGAGTTAAAAACTAAAGTTAAACAAACAAATTCAAAACAATAACTTTATGTAAACTCTGGGTAAGGTGCGGATATAAGAGAATGTCTAACGGGAGGAGATTAAGATAAACGAGTAGTTTTATTCTGGGTAGACCTGCCGGAAGAGATCCGTCTTGCTAGCTTTTTTAAAGCCATCTAAGTTGGTTATCTGACGGATCTCTTCCAGCAAGGCATTCCAGAGTCTGGGCGCGGTAGTGGAAAATGTCCTCTGGGAGGTTGCTGCCAGTCTAGTTTTCGTCGGTTGAAGCAGCTTCCTCCCACAGGACCTGAGGGCTTGGGGCGGATTATATGGGAGAAGATGATCCCCTAAGTAGGTTGGACCCAGGCCATGTAAGGCTTTAAAGGTCATCACCAACACCTTATACTGTGCTCGGAAATCAATAGGCAGCCAGTGGAGGGATTTCAGAATAGGTGTAATATCATCACTCCTCAATGTTCCAGTGATCAGCCTGGCTGCCATATTTTATACTAATTGTAGTTTCCGAGTT